TAATTGGCATCTGAACAGAGCCGGGATTATCTATGGATGAAGTTCCTATACAGTTGTTCTTTCCCGTGTGAGGTGTAATTTGCCTTTGTACTATGTGAGCAGTTGCATGCTTTGTGCTATGGGTAGTCAGGCAAGCAACTAAGGTTGAGGCATCAGGCTTGGGAGTGTCTGTGGGAGGAATCCTAGGATAGCAGTCTTTGTCTGTGTGGAATGGTCTGGCATGCCTACCTGATGAGTGGCGTCTATTGGGTGAATATGGAGATGTCCTGAAGACAGTTAAAGGTTTAGAGGAATCTTTGCAGTCTTTGAGATTAGCATACAAGGGTGGAGATTGTTGGCAGCCACAGCAGAGGTTGCCTGGCTTCTGTGTGTGCAGTTAGAAATGCATCTGAGGCCAAGGCGGCTGCTAAGCAGGAACTTGTTTGTTTAAAGGAGCAACTGTGACAGGAAAGGGAGATTCGGCAGCACTCCCTGCATTAACCTCTGATTTGGCAAATAAATTAGATGTGTAAGAGACTGAGATAGAGGTGTTGGCTTGATGCTTCTGAGGGCTTGGGGGTCAGAGGGAAAATTGAGCACAGGTTAGATCAATGCTTAAAGCCCTTCTTGGGATCTAAGAACTTGGAAGCCATGGAAAAATCCAGAGAGGGAAGAGGAGGAGAACATGGTAAAAGCAGTGGATGATACCCTGAGGGTCTGACGTTGGGTAGAAAAACAGGGACATTCTACAATGCAGCATGTAGACATCAATAATGGTCCTGTGCAAAAAAGAAAAAAAGAAAAGACAAAACTAGTGTTGCCAGGGAATGTTCAGTGCCTGGCTTCTGGAATTGGGGAAGACTTAAACAAACAATGGAAGAGCCCATCAAAGCTTGGCTCTTGAGACTGTGGGACATGGGACCAGATGGGACCAGTCTGTCTTCTGTGGAGACAGAAAACCTGAACAGTGAAACTCCCCATCCCTCCTTAAGGCAGAGGCTATACAACCTGAGACAGTGGAGGGGAGTCAGTCCCTAGTGGGCTGTATTACCAGAGCCATCAGAAACACTTGGTTGTCTCCATCTGACGTCCCCATAAATGTTGAAAACAACATAGGGACGGGGTTACTGAGGGAACTGGGAACAAGAGAATCTGTGCATGGCCCCCAGTTCGCTGGGCCTGACAGAACTATGATCACAGGGAAATTGAGGAGAAAGTGATCCAATAGGGACCTGGAGATGGGATCTTTATGAGGTAGGAGAGGCTTTGGCAGACCTGAGTGAGCTAGACCATCATGCCCTTGAGTTCGCAAGGTGCCAAAGCCCATGGGAGGAGGAGGGAGGAGAGTAAACAGGTGGGGTCCTGTCTGAGTCCCAAGCAGATGTGGCCAGACTTGAGTTGAGTTGGAGTTCCAAGGAAAAATAGTGATGGTGAAATAATTCACGTGAGGTAGTTATTGACAACCACGTTAATTAAGACAATTTAAAATCTGACCCATTTTTTTAAAGATTTATTTATTTATTATGAATACAACATCTTGCCTCCATGTATGTCTGCACGCCAGAAGCACCAGATCTCATTAAGGATGGTTGTGAGCCACCATGTGGTTGCTGGGAATTGAACTCAGAACCTCTGGAAGAGCAGATAGTGCTCTTAACCTCTGAGCCATCTCTCCAGCCCAATCTGACCCATTTTTATTGACGGCCAGACTAAGAAAAGTGGGATCACGCCTCTGAAGTCTCCTGGTGCCCAAGCTCAGGGATACAGGCTTTTAAAGACAAACACATACTTGCATCAGTGCTGGTGGGGAGGAGTGCATTAGTGAGGGATTTAGAGTTGTCTAGTAACGTCTGCTTTCTTTGCAAGGCTTGGTGGTGTTTTCCAGACACTGCATAATCTGTTTGGACCATGGTTAAGGTCGTGAACAGTCCCTGAAGCATTGCCAATGTGGAGGTCACTGTTGTTGTTGGTGGTGGTGGGGGTGGTGAATGTTTAACAAGTGACCAGGCAGTCATAAAATAAAGTTGGGAAGGGATGATGTGACTTGAAGGGACACTAACCCACTCGAATATGCGACTCTGCAAGGCCTTGCCCTTCTCTCCATTCCCTCTACCTTGGTAAAAATAAATGTTCAATTACATCCCTAAAGCTGGCCACTGAGGTCTGTTCTCTTACTTGGTCACTTCCTCCTCCTGAGGCTGACACCAAGGTCCAGCTATGGAAGTCCAGCAATCGGAAGCCCCCTTTGGCTCACTTAATTAACTTGTCCAATTAAAATCAAACACCTCATCGTTACACTGGGTTTCCTCCTTTTCCTTTATAAACCGCCATTTGCCCACGTGCCACGGCTGTCTCCTCTCCCCAGAGGCCGTCCTTTGCCCCTCTGGGACAAATACCCCCTCCCCCTTCCCTCATCCCCTTCCCCTCATCCCACGTCTCCACCACATCCTAGCCCGTTCTAACACAGACCTCCCCTTTTGCTCCTTTTAAAGAATGATGCCTTCAAGGTCCTTTGCTGCTGTTCGGCTTGAGTCACCTGCTGGGGGCCCAGCCGTTCTCTTAGGTGTGAGGTGATTGTCCTTAATTGTGTTTGTGGTTTCCTGTGCTAGCATCTTTTTATTGGTAACTGCCCCTCTGCCACATTGTCTACTAAAAACTTAACTGTGTGGTTTCCCATCGATGCAGTGGCCAAGGACTCTTAGGTGCCCGCCCTAGTTAGGGTTCCTACTGCTGTGAGGAAAGACCCTGACCAAAAGCGACTTGGGAAGGAGAGGGTTTGTCTGGCTTCCTTCCACTGAAGGAAGTCAGGACAGGAACTCAAAACAGGGCTGGAACCTGGAGGCAGGAGCTGTTGTAGAGGACCCAGAGACGTGCTGCTTACTGGCTGGCTCCCCATGGCTTGGTTCAGTCTGCCTTCTTACAGAACCCAGGACCACCAGCCCAGGGATGGCACTGCCCATCATGGACTGGGCCCTACCCCATCAATCACTGAATAAGAAAGTGCCCTACAATTAGATCTTATGGAAGTATTTTTTCACTTGAGTCCCCTCCTTTCAGATGACTCTAGTGTGTGTCAAGTTGACACAAAACTAGCCGGCACAATTGACCCCTTGACAACTTAAACACATCACTGTTAAGCTATAACCTTTCCTTCATTGTTCTTCAATATCAGCATCACAATAAAACATTCCGAATTTTAAAAGTGCTGTGGTCTTTAAAAAACACTCAGACACTTAAAAATTCAGTCTCTTTAAAATGGCCAGGCTCTTTTAAAATCCTAAGTCTTTTAAAATTCAAACTCTTTTGACTGTGGGCCCCAGTAAACCACTTCCTTACTTTAAGACAAAGAATCAGGGCACACAGGCACAATCAGGACAGTACAAACCAAATTCCAACAGTATAAATAACTCAATGTCCAATATCCGAGATTTATTTACCACCTTCTGGGCTGCTTCAAAGGGCTTGGGTCAGCTGGGTGGTAATGGTGCACACCTTTAATCCCAGCACTCAGGAGGCCAGCCTGGTCTACAGAGTGAGTTCCAGGACAGTTAGAGATACACAGAGAAACCCTGTCTTGGGGGAAAAAAACCACAGCAACAAGAACAACCAAAACCAAGCCCTCCCCCTAACTCCAAACCAAACAACAGCAGCAAAGGGCTTGGTTCATTTCTCTGGCTCTGCCCTGGAAGCGCACAGCCTGTCTCCTAGGCTCCACTTGAGGCGGCTGCTGTTCATGGTGATCATCCCACAGCCTTGGCGTCTCCAAAGTGCTGGCATCTTCTGCTGCCAACAGGCTGCACTCTCACCAATAGCCTCTCTCCCCGGCTGCCTTCAGGGACTCCAGCCCTGCCACACAGTGCCGAGCTGCTCTCCATGACCCCTCCACCCCTTCAAAACCACCGCCACCTGGGTAGCTCCTCTGCTACCGAGGTCAGCTGCCAGCACAAGGTGCAACCTTGGCCACCTCTGGAACACAGCTTCCGTGTGGGATCTTGAAGGAACACTTCCCAGATTTCACTGCAGTGATGCTGCTCTCTCCTTAGTCACAGCTGACTCTTCAGCCCCGGCAGACCAGATACCACAGATTCTTCACACAAATGGAGCCAAGTTGACTGGAACTGGCCAGTACAATCCTTGACTTCCGGAGGGGTGGGGGAGGGGTCAGCAAGACAACTTGCTTTTGCCTTTTACTGTCTCAGTTATCGTAAACCTTTTGGGCCACTCTGACGAGCTGGGAGGTATTCGTCCCTGCAAGAGCCCTTGTAGCTTTTGGAGTTTGGGATATCCGGAGCTGACCTAGTGACGAAAGCCAAATGTAATGCTGTGTCATTTTCTGGAGACATCGGATCAAAGAAGTAGAAATGCTGAAAATTTGTTACTGCTCCAGAAATGCCCTGAGAGACTCTTCTGGGCCTTGAAAAACCCGAGTATCCTTAGACAATGAGTAGGATTTGAGCTGCATCCCAAAGTCCAGTCATAGGGTATTGGTGAAAAGTGTTCAGGGCCTTGGAACCTGCATACTATTGGGGTTCTAATCGGGACACGTGGATGGGAAAGCCGCCTCTAAAGTAGCCTTCCAGCATGGGTACCAGTGGCTGAGGCCAAAAGAGCCGTCCTTGGCTCTGAAGTAGCCAGAGTCGGGAGTTGTTGGTAACCATCCCAGGTGGGGCGATAGGGCCGGAGGTTGAACTCCAGGAAGGCAGCCAGGGCTTGGGGCTCATGGAAATACAGAACTGAAGTAGAAAAAGGACTGTAGATCAGGAAAGGGCTACACCATCGCTCTAAGTAGTTGCCTTAGAGACAGCTTCTGCAGCTTCACTAGCCTTCTCTTTGAGAACACATCCCCGCGTTCCGCCCCAAACCCTTGGGGTGCATTTTGTAGCACACACTGAAGGGGTGAGAGTTTAGAGTGTGTGGTCCCCGTGTTAGGAGAAAATTTAGGTGACTTGATGGAGTAGAAGATGACTATGACCAGCCCAGGCCATTAAGGGAAGATGACTCCACCGGAGACCTGTCACACCTCCCTATTGTGCGAGTGAGAGAAAATACGAGGCTTGGGGGCGGTATCACTCTGGGCATCAATCGGTTTGACTGCAAGTTTCCGTTCTCAGAGAGGAAAGGAGATGCTATTTGAAGACCAAAAGAGCAAAACTAAAAGGAAACAGCATACGGATGGTGCCATCCAGTGGCCGAACCGGAGAAACCAGCAGACTCTTCAGAGACCAAAAAGACAAGCCAAATGGAGCGAACAACGGCGCGCAGAGGCTGCCACCTGGTGGCAGCATTCGGAACAACCGGCGGAACCTGTCAGAGGGGTTAGGGTTAGTTAGGTTTAGCGTTAGGTTAGGGTTAGGGCTCATGCTAGCGTCAGGTAGGGTTTGGTCTGGGGATAAGTCTTGGGTCAGTGTTAGGGGTAGAGTTCGGTTTATACATTTTTCGAAGCTTATCTGGAAAATCTGCCGTCAGCTGTGCCAGGGCCAGGGCTACGTCTATTTAAGGATGGCACACACGCCTGTGTTTAGGAATGCAACTCAGCATTAAAGGTGCGGGGACGCGTTTCGGGGGGGGGGATGCGTTTACACTCCGGAACAGTGACCTCCTCCCGGGGCACAGCTAAGCTGGCAGCGTACAGACTCCTGTGCTCGGGTACGCAGTAGACGGACGCGCCGACACCCGTGCACAGGCCGAGGGAACACATCTGTGTCCAGGGGCTCGGCCACTGTGTAAAGCGCCAACTCCTGCGTCCTCTGGCGCAGCTTGTCGTCAACAGAGCGGCTGTACTTCCAGAAATCTGGAGGTCGATGCAGGAGGATCTCTGTTTACAATAGCGTCACCCAAAGGAGGCGAGTGGTTAGGGTTGGGGTGGCGGCCACGGCGTGAATTCTCCGGTTTGCCCCTGTCCTGATGCGCGCATGCATTCCGGGTGATGCCGCTCGTTTCGGCTTGCACATCTTAGTGTTAAAGAGCCCGTGCGCCCCGGCACATTGCAGATTTTGCGGTGTTTTTGTGCTCACAGCGTCCCGGAGGCTTCCGTGTAGTCACCGCCGGTGCTGGGCAGTGTGGCCTCCCGCACCTGGCGACTCAGGACCCCGCAGGGACTCTGCGTGGACCGTGCGAGAACCAGACACGCGACGGTCTCAAGCCCTAAATTGCACCTCGGATCATGATTGAACGCTCTCGCCAGCGTCGAGGAATCGAGGACAAGTCCAGGCGAGAACGGAACCTGCTCGTGTTCTCTGCACGTTTGAGTTTTTTGTTTTATAGCTAGCTTCCCTGCGACCCCACAGGCTCCAGTAAGTGTCCAAACCCCGGGGAGGGGAGACTGAGCTTTCTGGGTATTGTAGTCCAAAGTCTGGGGGGGAGGGCAGTGAGGGCCCTAAGCCTTCTGGGTATTGTAGTTCAGAGCCTTCAGAAGGCGGCACTTGTGGACCCTAACCATTCTGGGTATCGTGGGCCAAACTGCTGGAGTTGGCACCTGTGGAGAAGCCTTTTGGGGTCTGTGTTCCCTTATTTATCCACAGCCGCCATCAGGGAGGCTTCAGAGAGCTCTTAAGGCTCTGCAGACGGATGAACAGAGCCGAAACGCCCGACCTCCGCGAGTTTACAGCCGAGTGCTCTCGGGAACGGCCGAGCGTGTTCGGAAACGAGAGGCGGCGGAAAAGACCGAGACTGGCTGGCAGCGCCGAGCATTGACGAAGACATCCGAGTGTCCGTGAGAGGATGCCGAGCGCTCCGGAGGGCGGCCGGAAAGAGCCGATGTGTAGTCGGGAGCAGCCGCGCGGAGCGTGAGGTTTCCGAGACCCGAAGGAATCGGGTCTGGACAACGTGATGACGTCAGGAGCCCGGGCAGGGGCCCTGTGAACTGCGGGAGAGGGGTGCTGATGGCGTGGGGGCGGGACCGCAGGGTGGGCGGGCCTGATGATGGTTCCGTCTCTAGGGAACTGCTGCGAGGATGACTTGTGGACCAGCTGCACGCGGCCGCTGCATGATACTACATCTGCAGGGTCAGAGTCAGGGCTTGACCCCTGCAAATATGGCTGGGTCAGGGTCACATCAGGGTCACGGTCAGAATCCTCTGCGGCTTAGCCCCCCGGCATCGGGTGTGCACAAACAACCACGTTACTGTACTCATCTGCCCCGTTCACTTCCGCCCGTCAGCCCTCTGCGGACTTCAAGACCACAGCCGCTCAGGGAGGTGACCTTCGCAGCTCTCCCATCACCCCTACCTCCCATCAAGTGCCGCTCCGGCTTAGCCTTGCGACTTCATCACGAGGGAGGCAGGATCTTAGCCGGAGGGGGTACCCTCTTAAGGGGAGGAGGAGGGACGGCCTGTCCTCTGCCTTTTATGCCCCCTAGATTCTCTCCGTGCTGGCTAGTTTTGTCAGCTAAGGTCATCTGAGAGGAGGGAACCTCAATTGTGAAAATGCCTCCATAAGATCAGGCTGTAGGCACGAGTGTAGAGCGTTTTCTTAATTCATGGTTGATGGGGGAGGGCCCAGGCAATTGTGGGCAGTGTTATCCCTGGGCTGATGGTCCTGGGTTCTATAAGAAAGCAGGCTGAGGAATCCTTGAGGAGCAAGCTGGTAAGCATCACCGCTCCATGGCCTCTGCATCCGCTCCTGCTCTGACTTCTTTCATAGACGACGATTTCCTAGCCAAATAAACCATTCCTCCCCAACTGGCTTTTGGTTATGGTGTTTCATCATAGCAGAATTAGTCCTAACAGCGCTCCCCCCTCCCCATCCTAGCTTGCTTCCGAAGGAGTGACAGGACACCCAACCTTGTCATGTTTAATTTACATATTTTTTAAAGGATATTTGATCACAATATGCAAAGATGTGCCTGTCCTTCCTTCCTGCCTAAGGCACCTTCTGATTGGTTTAATGAAGAGCTGAACTGCCAATAGCTAGGGAGGAGAGGATAGGCGGGACTTCTGGGCAGAGGTGGGAACTCTGGGAGGAATCTGGAGAGGTTGGGGAGTCCCCAGGGAGACTGGGAGGAAGTTGGACATATGTTATGGAGGAGAGCTAACCACCTCATGGCAGAATGTAGATGAATATAAATGGGTTAATTTAAGTTATAAGGACTAAGCTAGGCCTAAGCTAAGGCTAAGCTTTCATAATTAATCATGTCATTATTTGAGAGTTGGTGGTGCAAAGAAAGTCCATCTCCATATATTTTGTGGCAGGGTCTTTCTATGTACCCCAAGTTAGCTTCCAACTCAAGCAGATCCTCAAGTTTTCTGGTGTTGAGGTAGAAGGCTCACCACACTAAGTCTTTTTGCTTTGTTTGAGGGAGTGTTTTTATTTTTAGTGTGATGTGTGCTTGCCATATATGAACATGCATGTTAGGGTGCACATGCCTGCAGCAGCCAGAGGATGACATCTTGTGTTTCCCTTCTCATGCTCCGCTTTACTCACGGAGGCAGAGTTTCACTCTGAGTCTGAGATCCTGCTGTCTCCATCCGGGGTGCTGGGGTTCAGTGGAGTGCCTAGGGAATAGGCAGAGGGAAGCAGACAGAGGGAAGACAAGTAATCTGCTATGGGGCTTGGGACAGACTGGGTAAATTTTAATGGAGGATTGGAAGGAAAGTGACAGTCACTTACCTGACAGAGGATGTAGGTTTGATTCCCAGTGTCCATATGACAGCCCACAATTATCTATAATCCCTATTTCAGGGAATCTAATACTTTTTTGATGGGGGAAGTCCTGTGATTATGTCAATAAAGCACTGTTGGCCAATAGGGAAGCAAGATAGGTGGGACTAGGAGTCCAGGAGGACTCTGGGTAGGAGAAACACAGGAGTCGAGATGTAACGCCATGGGGTAGGAAGCCCGGAAACTTCTCTGGTAAGAGACATACTTAGATTAACAATTATGGGGTAATTACTTAAGTCAGAGCTAGCCAGTAAGAAACAAGCAAGGCCAGCAGCTTCATAATTAATATAGCCTCCTGTGTGTTTATTTGGGACTGATGCGGCTCTAGAACCAGGCTGGCGGGAAGGCTTCTCACAAGGAAAAAGTTTCTCTTTACACTTTTTGACCTCTGTGCTTGTGGTACATGGACACACATGCAAGTAAAAACCCATTACACATAAAAATGATGAATAAAATGATAATAGTACTCCTTTTTTTTTTTTGAGACAGAGTTTCTTTGTGTAGAGTTGGAGCTGTCCTGGAACTCAGTCTGTAGACCAGACTGGCCTTGAATTCAGAGATCCATCTGTCTCTGCCTCCCCAAGTGCTGGGATTAAAGGCTTGCACCACCTCTGCCTGACCAAAAAAAAAAAAAGGCTTTTTTTTTAAGGAAAAAAAAGATAAGCACATCATCATTCTTGCTGCTTAAACCAGTAATAGGCAATAGGAGACTTGTATAGTGGAGCATTTTCCTGGTAACCTTGATAGGGTAGACTGATAAATTAATAGGTTGCCAAAGGCAGCTTTGCCTCCCCTCCCCCCTCTAGCTCTCTCTGGCTTTCTCTCACCCTTTCTGTGTCATTCTTGATACTGTGGAGGGTGGGAAATTTCAATTCATTGTAATTGATGGGCATCATTGTTTTGCCATAAACACTCTGGTTTTGCCGTAAACACTCTGGTTTTGACCAAAGGGAGCCTCTTCAAAGCAGCCCCATTGTGGTTTTGACTACATTGTTTACTCATTACATTCCAATCCAAGTGCAAAATTTGACTTAGATTCACCCTTTAAACCACCTAGACACATTTCATCATGCATGTTCACGGAAAAAGTGAGAATGTCAGTAGAAATACTATTCCTCAAATAGGGCATATTATTGTGGAATATTTAACTATGTAAAGGTGTATCACATTTGTTTATGCTGCATTTGTTTAACTATGTAAAGATGTGTTGCTTTGCCTGCCTAAGGCACCTGATAGGACTGATACAAAAAATGAATGGCCAATAGCTAGGCAGTAGAGCAACAGGCGGGGCTGCCAGGCAGAGAGAATAAGCAGGAGGAGGAACCTAGGCTCCAACTTGCTCTGCATTGTACTGGTGTCTATGCTGCACCTAGATTCATTCCTCTGACTCTGTGAGAAGATGCTAATTTCGGCATTACAAAGCAACAGTGACTTTATACTGAGAATCGGAGACCTACATCAGCGAAGGGATTTTTTTCTCTCCATTCTTCTACTCTCATCAACTGAAGATCCCAGAGGTAACGTGGCTATGGACTGTGGGGAACTGGAGGGAGCAGCAGCAGATGGGATGGGATGGTGAGGAGAATAGGGATGGGTGCTTAGTATACTCAACCAGTAGTTCTCCACAAATGGTCTATTTTTCCATGTAAAGTGTTTTATTTTCAATACATCATTTATTATGAAATGGCTGCAGACAGTATAATGATAATTATCTAGTTCCATGAATAAGAATACTTATTAAAGTATATGTAAAAACTTCTCTCTACACATGACAAGAGATGCAAAAATTACACATTAAAGAGCTTGGAACCAAAAATAGTAAAGCGGTTCTTAAAAAAAAATACACAGTGTTGATACAGCTCATCTCTGACTTATGTACGATGTATGGGTGAAATGGAAATGAAATAAGCACAAATTTAATGAATACATTATTGATGAAAATATATTCCAATCTACATTAAATGATTAAGCAGGGAGTGCTAGTACTTGATCTGCCATGCCAATTCATTCCCTCACAGAAATGGTATTTTAAAACAGCCAATTTCTAAGTGTGGAATAGCCTTGAGCTCATTGGCACAGGAAAAGACTTCCTGAACACAACACTGTTAGCACAGGCACTAAGGTCAACGATTAATAAGATGGTACCTCATGAAACTGAAAATATAAAAAACTCAAATAATCCAATTAAGAAATGGGCTACAGACCTAAACAGAGAATTCTCAATAGAGGAAACGCAAAACACCGAGAAACACTTAAAGAAATGATCAACATCGTTAGTCATCAGGGAAATGCAAATCAAAACTGCTGTGAGGTTTCATCTTACACATGACAGAGTGGCTGAAATCAATAACACAAGTGACAACTCACGCTGAAGGGCAATGCTCATCCATTGACATTTGGAGTGGAACTTGTACAGCCACTATGGAACTCAGTGTGGTGGCTCTTCAGAAAGATGGGAATCGATCTACCTCAAGATCCAGCTATACTGGAAAACAATGGAATCTTGAAATCCATTGGCAAGTGGATGGAACTAAGAGAAACCATCTTGAGTGAGGTAACCCAGTCACAAAAAGGCAAATGTGGTATGAACTCACTCATGTATGGATTCTAGACATAGAGCAAAGAATTACCAGCGTACTATCCACACCATCAGAGAAGCTAGAAAACAAGGAGGACCCTAAGAGAGACCTACATGGTTCCTCGGAGAAGGGGAAAGGGACAAGATCTCCTGAGCTAAATGGGATCATGGGGGCAGGAAGGGGAGAGAGAAATAGGAGAAAGAGAAGGGGAGAAGAGGAGGGAGAGGAGGACATGAGGGATCAGGAAGATTGAGTCAGGGGAAGACTAGAGGAGAGCAAGAAAAGAGATACCATAATAGAGGGAGATATTACAGGTTTAAAGAGAAATCTGGCACTAGGGAAATGCCCAGAGATCTACAAGGGTGACCCCAACTAACAATCTAAGCAATAGTGGAGAGGCTGCCTTAAATGCCCTTCACCGATAATGAGATTGATGACTACCTTATATGCCATGCTAGAGCCTTCATCCAGTAGCTAATGGAAGCAGAAGCAGACACCTACAGCTAAACACTGAACTGAACTCCTGGAATCCAGTTGCAGAGAGGGAGGAGTGATGAGCAAAGAGCTCAAGACCAGGCTGAAGAAACTCACAGAAATAGCTGACCTGAACAAGGGGGGAGCCATGGACCCCAGACTGATAGCTGGGAAACCAGCATAAGATCCACCCAGACCCCCTGAATGTGGGTGTCATTTAGGAGGCCTGGACAATCTATGGGGCCTCTAGTAGTGGATCAATATTAGTCCGTAGCAAAAGAATGGACTTTGAGAGCTCATTCCACATAGAGGGATACTCTCTCAGCCTAGACACATGGGGGAGGGACTAGGCTCTGCTCCAAATGATGTGACAGACTTTGAAGATCCCCTATGGAGGGCCTCACCCTCCCTTGGGAGCAGAAAGGGGATGGGATAGGGGGTCAGTGGTGGGCAGGGGAGGAGGGGAGAGAGGGGGAACTGGGATTGACATGTAAAACAAACTTCTAATTTAAATAAAAAAAGATCCAGCTATACTTACTCCTCTTGGGCATATATCCAAAGGATGCTTTATCCTACCACAAGGACACTTGCTTAACCATGTTCATTGTTCTATTCATAACAGCTAGAAACTGGAAACCTCCTAGATGTCTTACAACAGAAGAATGGATAGAGGAAATATGGTACATTTACGCAAAGGAGTATTACTCATCTGTTAAAATAACATCATGAAAATTTCAGGCAAATAGATTGAACTAGAAAAAATTCATCCTGAGTGAGATAACCCAAACCCAGAAATATAAATACAGTATGTATTTGCTTAGATGTGGTTATTAGCTGTTAAATAAATGATAACCAAGGTATAAGGTGTAGACCCAGGGACATTAGATATAGAAGGAGGGGCTGGGAGGGACACATGGATCTCCCTGGGAGGGGGAGATAGAATAGATTTTGTGGGTGGACTGGGGGTG